ATAACTTTGGGAACGCCAAATGATAACACCCAGTTTTCCCCGTGGAGATGGTGAAAGTCCGCCGCCAGTCTCTTACAGCGCAAAAAGTCGTCCTTCCCCTGGCAATCGCTCAAGCTGGGCGTGGGCGTAGCGCCTACCTTGTCGAACTTGTTAAGGTGTCAGGGTTAGCCAAACCATAATTATTCGGGGTAGGTAGCAGTGAAACCGCTGAGAGCTACGTAAGAGCTATGTAGGTCACAGATGTAGGGGTTGCAAAACAAAGGTAAAAATGCCCGTGAAACTCAGAGAGGACCAGCACGGTTGCTATACCAATGTTGCCTGGCTGCGTTACGGTAGAACGCGTACGGCGTGTATTCTGTGGATCACTGCACTCCCGTGTCCGGTGNCGCCTACCTTGTCGAACTTGTTAAGGTGTCAGGGTTAGCCAAACCATAATTATTCGGGGTAGGTAGCAGTGAAACCGCTGAGAGCTACGTAAGAGCTATGTAGGTCACAGATGTAGGGGTTGCAAAACAAAGGTAAAAATGCCCGTGAAACTCAGAGAGGACCAGCACGGTTGCTATACCAATGTTGCCTGGCTGCGTTACGGTAGAACGCGTACGGCGTGTATTCTGTGGATCACTGCACTCCCGTGTCCGGTGGGTCCTACGCAGTCCATCTTGTCTTGTGCTTTTGGTCGAGCAAAGCGGTGATGTGCTTGCTCGAGCGAAGCGGACGGGTTTTTTTGCCCTCCGCATTTGTCGTTGGGGCGTCCATTGACGCCACCCCTCCCCCCCAAATACCTCCGCCAAACAACCAAACAAGTACCCTCTATCCAACTGATGGTGTGCAAAGTCCACCACACGTGTCGCCACCCCCTCCCACCAACCCCTTTCCCCCCCCCCCCCCCCCATTGGTTGAAGGCTTCCCGGAGCAGGGTAATAGATTGATCTGGGCAAGAGCTTGCATAAACTTCAGAATCGAATAATCATGTGTTGTAGACGTGCGCTGCCTTCACTAAACAGTTCGATGATTCGGTCTCACGACATGTAGCTATTAGTCCAGGAGGGCAACAACAAGCAGCAAGAGTTGGGAGTACATGGTCTCTGCCGCCCTGACGTGCCCGCCCCACATGTCCCTTCTTCGTCTGACATGTGCTGTTTGCGAATTGCTCAAGGCTATGGCATGTGGTGAGGCCGGGATGGCGTCGAAGAAGGGCACAGGCCCGTCGAAGGAGCACATGGCACAGAGACTGGCGTTGCGTGACAGTGCCCGCGACGGTGCGCCAGGCCGAGGTGCGACAAAGGGTTTCCCGGTGGTACAACCGGCAGGTGGCAGAGGCAAGGGCAGCAGCAGCAACTCCAAGTCCCGTTACTCTGCGACCACTGCGGCGAACAACCGGTCCCGGGGGGAGGACTGTCGGTTCCGACGGAAATCAGAGACCTCTGACGGCGAAAGTTCTTCAATTTCGTTGGCAACCGCAACCGGTGAAGACGAGGAGAAAGAGGAGGAGCTATCCGACGAACCAGACGCGTGGGACGAAGACCGGAAGGCGACCCCGTTAGCAAGCGGCAAGGCTGGGCGGGGGACGAGGAGCGGGAAGGGTGGGGGAAAGCGGACCCGGTCTGTTCCACCTCTTTCCTCCACGATAAGTGGCTCTGCCGGCCTCCAAAACAGGCTGAGCAGCGTGATCGACTTGGTCTGCCAGAAAATGACCGCGCCGGCGGTGCCGACTGTGGGTGGTGGCGAGCAGGGAGGAGCGAGCAGCAGCACGGAATCGGATGAGATCAAAGACCTGCTAAAGAGGAGCATCCAGCGGCACGAGCAGGTGAACCAGCAGATCATCAATGCAATGGGATGACGCATGGTGGCGTCCAACCGCACCCACTCGGGATGAAAGCGGGTGCAGGCGCTCTTCATCCATTCGGCAGGTACGCTGGATTCGGCGGTAGCGCCGCCTCGGCAGGGCTGGCTCTTCCTGCTGTCGGAGTACCTCCTCCTACGCAACCTTCGTAGGGTGCAACCGCGGCGGGTGCAAGAGCGTTGCCCGTGGTTGCTGGGGGCGGACAAGCCGCCCGCGTTGGTGATGCCTCATCCGCAGGAGGGGGGGGGCGTCTTCCAAGCTTCGGTGCTCCTTATGGCGGACGAGCGACTGGTGCAACCTCTGCAGTGGCAGCGGGCGGTGCAGTCCGGGTTAGGGCCCCGCGGAAGGCTGCGCCTACCACGAGTGGACAAACACTCTGCGAGTGTGGTCTTCCGGCATCCCACGGGGAGGTGAAGTCGGTGAGTCTGTTGCACACGTTTTTCGGGGGTTTTGTCTACTTCTGCAGGGAGTAAGGGAGGTGTTGTGGTCTTTCATTGACGAACTGGTGTCATTCTAATGTTGTAGAAACGTCCGCGAATTAGTCCCGCATCAGGTGTGGAACCCCCAAAAGCCCCCCTCCCCCCCTGCCTCTGTCCACGCGCCTCGTTTCGGGATTGCATCAGTACGTCCTCGTCGGGTTTAGGGCGTGTATTTTTTCCGGCAGGGTACTTGAACTCTGATGACGGCGAAGTTGGCTCATGCTTACGACGTTGGCCTATTGCCCGTGTGCCCCTCTCGCTCGGCTCTTAGTGCTTTATCTGCAATCCCTAAGCCCCCCCCCGCCCAAATGCTCTCCATTGACAACGCCCTCTATTCTACATGCGTCTGTATATCTGCGTCCTCCAGCGCACGAACAAGGGACGAAAGTAGGTAACCTTTTTTCCCCCCGCGGCGGCGGCGGGGGGGATGGCCGGAGGCCCCGCGGTGGCGGCCGGAGCGGCAGCATCGGCGGCAGCTCCAGCGGCGACGGCGGCGACCTCCACTGGTTCCTCGACCCAGCCGCGCCTATCCCACAGGTTCAGGCTGAAGGGAAGGCAGCCGAACCGCTTGCGCGGACGAAGGCTAGGCCCGGCCACGCGGCCGCGACGATCTCCTCGACGCAGCGGCAGGCGCAACGCCAAGCCCAAGGCCGAAAGCGTTAGGATTAGCCTACAAGTACTTGTACGCTCTGCCGTCTTGTCTCCTTGGAACAGCTTTTCTTCCCTTTTTTGTTTCCTCTCTGCGTTTATTTTTTTCAATTGCGAGTCGTATTGTACCCTGCAACAGTAGTACGGCTTAGTGCCTCTGTCGAAAGCTTATCTGACTCTTTTTGTTTTGTCCTCTCTTTTTGTTTACCTTTTTTCGAGGAGGGTACACTGCAGGTAGGGTAGCAAGGCATGTGGGGTAGACTGTAGGTAGGGTCGGTGTTTTGTCGGCCACTTCTGGCGACGTGTTGTATTGTCCACGTATCAAATTATGGGAGGGGGGGTAGGTATATCCGGGAGATCTTTTCGTCTTGAAGTCGAGATTTTAGGTTTGATTGCAGCTTGTCGTTATTATTGTCTTCGTTAGCCGTTAAAGAAGGTTGTCCTGTCGTTCCCAAACCAGTTCCTTTTTGCAAGGTCCACGTCACTGCTCGTTTGTGGTCATGTTTGGCCTCAAACATTGCCTAGGCGCCCAGTGCCTGGAACTGTTGGTCCTCTTGATTCGTTTGCGTTGCCCATAGGCAAGTGTTGTTGCCACTAGGGCATGGGTGCCGTTTACAAAACTCAGTTTGACCTGGTCAGTTCGAGCACGGTACGCACCAATCCCGTGGTTGTGCTGGTGTAAGTGGCTCCATGTATTGGGCAACTGCTTTTGCTGTGACTTGGCACCGCTCTTGCTTGTTTCCAGTAGAGTTCGTAGACCTGTCCTGTCTTGTTGTCATCCTTGTCATAACTTGTTGCCCGCCGCAGGGTGTTGGTCTGAGTGCAGTTGCCTGTCGCTCTGTCAGTGTTTTGTTTTTCGAACTCGGACATGTCGATCTGTCTACAATTCGGTTGTCCTGCTTCGTTCATGTCGTGCAGCTGCGTGCACCACCGAGAATGTTTTTCGGGCGTGTTGCTCAATGGTTTGTTTTGCGTTGCTGTTTTTGATTGCAGTCTTGTTTTTTCCAAGTACCCGTGTTCTTTTGGGTTAACAACCCGTTTGTCTTGCTATTTTCCTTCGCGGAAGGGCACGTATGTAGGTTGTCGGTTATTTATTTCGTTCGATCGCTTGTTCTTGTCGCACATGCCGTCGAACTGTGAGCAAATGGATAACTGTTGCCAGTTTCCGTTGGAATGCATGGTTTCGATTTCGTACGAGAGGTGGCATATGTGGGGGCGATTTGGTGCCTTAGTAAGCTTCTTCTCCGTAGGTTAGGTGAATAATAGGGTCAGATGGACCAGGCTTGATGATCGCTGTCGAATCGTCCCGTGACGGATTGGCCCCAGTGATCAAACCCGGTCTGCCTGAGCCTAGTGCTGTGCTGGCTAACCGGAGCTTCGTTGCCAAAAAACATTGACTAAAAAACACTTATTGAGATAGACTACTTCACAACCAGGACTTTGTACACTACGAATTGTTCGCTTTAGCGCCGACCTCTGACGTGCGCAGCATGTGGGGTTATCTTGTCTGCAGGCGCCGTTCGGATCGGACTGTGTTCACCCAAGTGCATCGGCGAGTAAAACGATTATGGGCACGACTTTTCGTGACGCACCCCGTTACGGCCAAGTCACACATCTCGACTATAACAAAAAGAAAAGCTAGAAAAACAATTATGTTAAATGTATTTGAGGTTGTCTTCACATGACCAAACGCAAAGGCCTCACTCAGTACCTTGTAATGTTCGTACTGGTCCAACTGACGCGGACTCCTCCCGTGACCACAAGCCAACTACCCCCAAACGGGGTACACCTTTTTAAGTAGTAAAAACATAACGATGGACACAAGCAAATTCCTCCAAGGCACGATTCGTTTTCTGCCCGAACACAAAATGGCAACTAGAGAAAAACTAACCCGGATACAGGCAATCGACCTCGGTCTAACAGGAAGAAAGAACGAGAAACAAAGAAGGCAAATTAGTAGAAAAGGAGAAAACCCAGGAAACAAACAGCAAGATATACAGGTCCCCTCCAACGCTCCAGCCCACAGGACCAACCACGAAATAATCCCGAGACAACTTTACGGTGGTTCGCATTATCAGGGGAATTCGACCGTACAACGGGACCTCTACCCCCCTACAATCACCCGGAAAATGTTGTTTTTACGGTCGTCACAAGGTAAGGTACATGGTTCGGGCACACGGACTTGATAACACCTGTAATGGGGCGCGCCCTTTCTCCCTCTTTCGCAGGTCCGTGTCTATCAGGCACAGTACCTTAAGAAGGTCCAGATGACCGGAAAACAAGACCCCCAAGTGCGCGCGAAGCTGTTGTTCAACGGCCACAAGGTGAGAAATTGGGGAGCGCGTTACAGGCATGTGTACAAAACGAAGCTTGATGCCAACCCTTCTATCTGACGTCGATATGGCCATATGCCGAATGGTACGGGACATTGCGGTGCCAACTACAGTAGCTACTTTCGCATCATTCCCATGCAAACTAGACACACGTTGTCACGCCTCTCCCGAAAGATATTCTTGGAGGGAAGGGGGGGTAAGGTCAAAGAATTTCGCTGTCGAGTTTGGGTAGAAACATCAGCGGCAATTCGTCAGGATACCAGCCACCGCTTACTGCTTTCCAAGACCGCATGCGCTGAGGGCCACCTGCTGCTTCTTCACGTAGTCGACGTAAGGCCACAACGCCACGACCCGGCCGAAGCCCCATTCGACAGTTACCTGCCCTGACTCGACTCATCGCCCTGTTTTATGTATGCCACCTCGGCAACAGACAACAAGCCCTTGTATGGTGCCATCAGCCATGAGGATACCTGGTATGCTGGGTCTCCGTGAATGTAGTACGGAACGCCCACCGCATCATTGAATGACTGCATCAACGTCTCCAACCGCCCACTTAGCCCCAGCAACGTCACATCATGGCGCCTACCGAGCAGAGGATCCCAAAGTTGACGGATGATGCCATCCGGGGAATCTACCGCCTGATACTCCAATGAGTGTACACGCTTTCATCCGTTACAGCAAATGCGCTGATTTCGCCAAGGACGAGCAATCTTACGAATAGTTCCATCTAGGAATCCCCAGCACCTAGTGAGAGGTGATCCGCGGCCGGCAATGGCCTCGCAGAACGAATCGATTTTGGGAAGGATGGCGTCTACTTGCAAGTCATTCATAAGATGATCCCAGCGTTCGAAGATTGCCTCAATTGTTAGGTTGAAGATCTCGCATATGAGCGTCTCCGACATCCCCCAAAATATCCTGCCGCGAATCAAAGCCGTCGGTGCCGCCAGCCTCCAGTGTCACCGCGAACGCCAGCCTCGTTGGAACCCTCTGAACTCTATATCCTCCACTGCAAGGCATGGAGTACAGAAAAAGAGTCCAATGCGAGGGTAGCACTAGGGGTTATAGACCGACGATTTTAGCACGAACCCATGAGGCCTAGGGGTAAACGATAGTGGAATATACCGCTGGCTGACCCTAGAGTGTAGAAGTAATCGTCATGAGCGTAAGGCCCATACGGACAAGAGTCAGAAAGATGCTGTGGAGTATCTCGGCGTCCACAACGTAGCGGTTATTGTCCTATTAATAGTTTATGTTGTCGTGGGCGTTTTTTTTACCGTCGTCCCGATCGCTGATAGGACAAAACCACCCTCTACGGAACGCCCCCGATCGACACGGGTTGGGGTCATCCAGTCGGAGACAAATCCCATTTGCATGGGTGGGATTGTAGTCGGTTGAGCCTTGACTCTCTTTCAATGTGCAGGGCGTATTGCTCGCCACATGTTTTCTGCTAGGTTGTACAGCTCATGCCGCCATGATAAGTACCATGCACAGTGTGATTAGGAAACATTATGGCCAACCAAAGGTCAGCACTGTGCTACAGCAGTACACCATTAACAATGCTGCAATTGTACGTGGAGCAGCACCAACTTCTATTAATTCGACGGGTTTCTTAATACTTCTTTCAAGCAGTCTATAAATTCCTTGGAGACTTAACTTCGAGTCTGGCGTGTGACGGGGACTGTACGGGCGTCTACACATCTTACTTAGTAGGGCATACCTACCTCGTCTCGATAGAAAGGGTGGATGAGTTACATTAAATTCAACCCAAGAGCGCGTACGACCCAAGCTAAATAATGGACCCTCTGCTTGGAAGAATTTGTCACTCGATGCGGAGTCATGTGTTTGCACACACCGGTCGCCCCGGTGGTCTAGTGGTATCCTCGTAATCCGCTAGTCGCAGAGGTCGTGAGTTCGAATCCCCATGGGGTGAAAAATTTACGAAATTTGCGGGTGAAAGCGAAATATAGCTAAAAAACTCTCGTGAGTACCAAACTTCGACGTTAGCACCGTTGACGAGGGAAAGGGACGGCTGGACCCTTCTCGCGATAAAAATAAAAATTCAGCACGCACCGCAGGAAGAAGGTGGGGCATGAAAAGATATAAAAAGACGAAAAAACTCGTGGTGTTTACCCCCTCCTGTGTAACCCTGGATGGTTGTAGTTGTACGAAAAAATACACTGAAAAGTGTAGTACTCTACATACGCTGAAAAGTGTAGTACACGTCTCTCCACGAAAAATGGGGGGACTGTCGCCAAAATAAAAAGGATGAAAACACACACAACACACACAAGGCACGGTGGTGGCGGATGCACCCAACTCATGAAATTGCCACGCTAGACGCGGCGCGAGATAATTTTACCTACGACTTCCACCTGATCTTATACCAAACAAGAACCCTAGTTGGACTATGTACCGCGGCGTTGTCCACACGTCAGGAGGGCAACACGCCACGGGATGTCGGGGTTAGCTTCGGTGCTTCTCCTGCCAAGGAGAATGCGTGGTTCGCCAACTATCAGGCGGGATGTCTCACCGCGACACTTCGAACGTATCCGATAGCTGGAGTGCGTCCAACAGCTCCAGGAAGTGAGGTTTCTCGAACCTGAACAGCTCCTTGAAGTCGAATCCTCCGATTCTCTCGAAGAAGTCGAATCCTCCGATTCTCTCGATGAAGTCGAACCGGATACCCTCGAACGTTGTCGCTGCCACGAGCTGCTTGGACATCTGCCAGCGCAGCAGGCTGCACGTCCCAAGCACGAGAAATAGGTCTTCCCCTCCCTCAAGCGCACACAGAGCTGCGATCGTGGTGAGTTGTATGCACTCTGCGTACCGCTCGGCTGCCAGCCTCGCTCGCGCTAGTCGCGCCATGGCTGTAAGCGCCCTGCTACAGCGAGCTGCTGTCCAACTACAACACAACCACGGCGCTCACACGCACACACCGCCGTCAGCGCCGCCGGCGCTGGAAATAGAGTTTGCAGCAATTTTTCCCGATACTTGTTCGTTTTCCTACGAAAACGGGGTCCGCACCGGGTCGAACCGACACGATGCGGCCCAATTCTGGACAGATCTTTCCTACAGCAACTAAGCGGGAATTCGCTACTAACTGGACCGGATAAACAACGGCCTTACAGGAAATCCCGGGGGGAAACTCACGTTTGTCCTGCTTCTCTAGTCAACGGCGACGTTGAAAAATATCGCAATGCTGCCAAAACTCTTCGAGGATGTGCGTTGTGAGGCAACAACAACACAACATTACTGCTGTTGACTGTTTAGCATTCAGCACCGACACAGCACCCGGCAGCCGGATGTTCGAACTTCCCAGCATGACCTGACGCATGGGACAAATCCCCCCTGTTCCAAACCCCATGGACAACATCAATGAGCACTTGAGGATGATAACATAACAAGAACATCGAGCGTTTAGTTTGACACTACGACACGCGCAAGCCAACGCTGGTACTCTTCCCTCAACTATGAGGACAAATCCCGAGACGGCTGTGGTTGTTCGCTCAACTTACCATATTTGGGGTCCCTGGGGCAACCTGGATGCTGGCACTCCCTCACCATCCTTCAGCCTTGCTTTCCACGTGCTGGATACAGGGTAAGATGCTCCTTTCTTCCTTTCCCTCCAGGTGATCAGCTGATTCAAACCCAATCGTCGACGACGAATGGACAGACAGGGTCAGGGAGGTGAAGATGCACGATACAGGCACATCACATGTCTACCTAGCCCAGCTGCACTGCGCAGCACTCAGTGCTGCACGGCTGAAATAAAAAAAAGCAAGTGTGAGAAAAAAAGCTTCCAACGGGAAAGCAGCCCCCTGTGGAAACCCCTCTGATGAGGCGGCTCGCGGCGCAACAGACCTCCACTTCCAGCACGGGCTCTAGAGGGCGAACAAGAGGCTAAACTGCCCAGAAAATAAGAGAGGTATGTTAACACGATGCAAGAGCACAGCAGGGTATGTTTACACGCCCAGAAACACATGGTACGGTGAGAAATTTGGGCTTTAGCACGAGCGTACCACACTGCAGCAGCTCCAAAATCAGCGAGGAAGCTTCACACGCGAACCGACCTCTGGGCAAGGTTGGCGTCTTGCAGCCTATTTATACTGCCGACATGTACCTAGGTCTCACTGCCACCTAATGCAAAAGGCTTGAGGCGATTTGGTGAGGCAGGAGATAAGCATGGTGTGTTCAAAATTCAAGTTTCAGGAGAGCCCACGCATGTACATCCACTGGATACACGACCCCCATCCAAAGGTACCATGGAAATGCCCGATAAAGGCACGCTAGCTCAGGGTCAGGCTATCATAACAAGTAATAGAAAATATGGGCTTCGATTGGGCGAGTACGTCTGTCTTGAAGTTAAAATTATACTCGGTGCTTCTCGATAGTACGAGTCAAACATGACCCGGGGCGCTCGGCTACACTCCAGACCGTGCATATAGATTGAAACGCCGCAGAAATATCGAGTCGGGCATATATACTACGTAGATCGACAGGTTCCAGTCCGTCACGCTCTCAGGAACGTAAGCATGCCCATACGGAGGATCATATATTATTCATGGCTGTCAAGAGACAACGCAGCGCCCACAGACATGGCATAGGAGTACGCCTGCGTAGGCTGTACGTGTCACGTGACATTTTGTAGTTTTTGTCGCATACCATGGCCAGGTATTTAATGCATGGGATAACGGCCGGCACCGGTCGAGCTGCTGACAGATGACCCGTCGGAGAGGTAGGCAGGGCAACCGGACTGGTGGGGCCAACAACCCCACAGGTCAACCGGCTACGCCACCGGCTAGGCCTCGGAACCAGCCTGGGAGTTCTGTTACACCCGGAAGCAAGGGTATGCAGCCAACATGGGACCTTCGTCAGGTTACGGAAGGCACGCTAACCCCGCGTACTCCAGTGGTCGACAACTCAAGGGAGACGTCACAAGTGAACGTCCACGGATCGGGAGCAGGAGAGAGGGCAACCAAATCATTGAGGTGCACACCCCCACCGCCACGACAAAGCGCGACGCGAGAGATTTCGGTGCACGCGTCTGTCGGACGGGAGGAAAATCCCGGTCGGGCAGGAAATGCAGGAAGAGGCCCTCTGTTGGTGTCACAGGTGGAGGCCTATCCAATCTTGAGAGCAAGCTCGAGGAGGAGGATTACTACAGACAGCAGGGCGAGGCGAGGAGGGAGGCATCGGCCCGTAAGGCTCGCGCGATTGCCGAAGACGAACGACGAAAAGCAGAGTCCGAGGGGAATCACCCCGTTGATTCTCGGCGTAGGAGTCACAGCGGGAACCCAAGACTAGCCGGTTATCAGCCTGGCAAGCGGAATGCGGGTAGGAGACTTTCTGCCCCAGCGGTGCTATCTGTACGCCAACCAACAAGCAAGAAGCGAAGAAAGGCGTGCGAGCGCATGGAATGCAGATGGGTTACAGACAACCCTGGCACCGAGTGTAGCAAATGCCCCGGGAGTGTAGTGCACTCGGACGGCGATAAGCTATGTTCGGCGTGCCACAGGTCTCCGAATGACGACGGTTTCACGCACCTCCGCCCGGACCGGTTAGGACGAGCAGTTGACTTCCTGGCCGCGTGGACACCAGGCGAGAAAACCCTCCCTCCAGCTCTCGTGCGAGACTTAAGGCCCAGCAATGACTGCCTCTGCCAACGCCCAGATTGCATCCTAGCTTTTTTCGCCGGGGAAGAAAGGAAGGCAGAATCTCGCGTTCGCGGTTCTTGTGGGAACCGGAAATTTGGCAAGAGCAGCGTAAGGTGGTACCCCGTGGATGCTGCAGACGACGACGTCGCGGAGGGGAACGCAGCGGTGAGCGATGGCCTTTGGTGGTGCGGCCGTTGCTATCAGAAGCGGTTGGACGGACTAAAGAGAGACGAGAAACAGCCAGAGCACCCAGCGAACAATGCGCATGGATCGGCGGGTGAGGCGGTGGCGCCTCCAGATCCGTTGGACACGGTGCGCACTATGGTGGAAGAAATCCTCCGTCGAGGTGAGATCCTATACTGGCAGGACGTCGCCGACTGGGTAAGAGCGGAACGCGCGAAGGTTGGCATGGAGGAGTTACAAGGGAGATACCCAAGAAAAATCGTCCAGGCCTTGTTTTCAAGCATCGAGGAGTCCGGGACTTCACGCTTGGTCAGTCAAGAGCCAGCACAAGGAGACGCACGCGAGCGGGAGCTCTTTCCCAATCTCCCTTGGGGACGAGCATCTCGTTGACCTAATGCTGCGTCCTCGCCGTAATGCACCCGTACAGCCACCACCCAGCCAGCTAGCGGATATGGGCAGGTCTCTCAAGTCGATCCTGGAGCAAGTCGAGAAGGACAAGGAGGACGCAGACGCAAGGATGTCCGTCGTGCGGGCAGCTGGTAGAATTATTCGAGCCGACATGGAGAGTAAGCCTGCCCTGAAGAACACCCCCGGGACACGTTTGAAGCATCGCTGCGCCAATGAGTTGGACATGAAAGTAAAGCCACCCAGAGAGACTCTGCTATCCTCGTTTCCTCCGGCCTTGGTTGGGTTGTACCAAAGCATGACGCACATGGCACTGTATCGCGAGATCATCGCATCAGAGACCGAGCATCCTGGAAAGCCCTGGGTATGGGAGACCGCAGGGCGAGACGGACGGCACCCTACCACCTCGGGCGACTCGGAGGGCGAGGACGGTGATGGAGAAAAGAAGAACGACGTCAGTCAAGGAGAAGTGACAGTGTCGTTAGGGCCACGAACCGAGGAACAGGCCAGGCATATCGACAGCCTTACCCGCGACAGGCGATCTGCGCATGGTAGGCTTCTAGTGATGTGTACGGTGGTGGTGAAGGCAATTTTGCGTGGTCGGCACATGGGTTCGCACGACATCAAAGGGGCTCAGTGGGGAAAGTCTAAGAGTACGTGTCGCGATGTGATCAANTCGTTAGGGCCACGAACCGAGGAACAGGCCAGGCATATCGACAGCCTTACCCGCGACAGGCGATCTGCGCATGGTAGGCTTCTAGTGATGTGTACGGTGGTGGTGAAGGCAATTTTGCGTGGTCGGCACATGGGTTCGCACGACATCAAAGGGGCTCAGTGGGGAAAGTCTAAGAGTACGTGTCGCGATGTGATCAACTTTGTAGCGGAGCACGGTTTGTGGGCGACGACGTCGCAAACTCAGCACCGAGAAGATTTCCACGCGAGGTTCGTAGAGGACAAGGACCTTCTGAGCCAGGACGCCGAATGCGCCGCCATTCCCCTCAACAACTATGATTTTGACCCGAGGGTCAGAGTTGGCCAGAGGGAGGGGCCTCATCTTCCCTTTATCGCTGCGACGGCCTTGACGGTAGGGCCCGACGTAGGTCGAATGGACGACTGGTGGTTGGTAAGGAGTCGGGGATCTCTTACGGTGGAGGACGTCATTCTGGGGCCGGAGCGAGACCGGGAGGACGGAGCACGGCGGTATAACGAGTTTTCGGCGGAACTCTACCGCGGCGTATTCACTGAGGTGCGGAACAAGTCTGCAGCAGACACATGCGTCGAGTCTGAACTCCGCAAGGTAAGAGGCATTTCCCTTACTTCCCTTACTTTCCGGTTTTTTCACGACCTAGCCCATCCGACTGGACGTATGTTACCCAATAATATATGGCGTTCGTCGATTCTGAGACGCGCCCTCCGCACTATTACTCGAACGCGTAGCCTATCAGATCGCCACATCGTAGGGAAAGATCTATGTGGTATGATTTGTTCTTACTCCATGTTTCAATGCCACGTTTCGCGCGTCCTTGTTGGTGGTTTAACAGGCGCGTGCTTCGCTTCCGTTGGATGCAGTCATCCGTCAAATACGACGACCCTGGGATGCAAGATATCAGGCGGACTAACAGAAGCCTGACGTTGACCAGCCGGCTAGCGCGCGCGTTTCCTCCCCTGTATTTTCCTACCCAGTTGCGCAGGGAAGTGGACGGGGGAGATTCTTTTCCCTTCGGCCGCGCTGGGTGTCCGTTGTTTTTTGGCATGGTACTTTGTTAGTCGCAAACTGCCTGAAAGGTACGGGGATGCTGTGTGCGTTCCGGGCCTGTGTCGTACTGACTGTAAATAAGATATTTGTTGTTTCCTTCAGTTCGGGCACGATGTTGATAGGTTTTGGCAACCCGGGGGGGGCGGTCTTGTGCGAGGTGTTCGTGTGTAAGTATTTCCTCGTGTTTTCGACACACCCAACGCTCAGTGCGTACAATGGTATGTATTTGTCGTATGCTTTGAGAAAAAACACATTAACGTGCCTGTCTGCGTGCGACATTAGCACAACGTTATCAGTGACCAAGGTCCCTGTTAGTGTAGCTGGCGTGTTACTGTCGCTACCCCATCCTCTCTTTTTTTTTTCCTCCAGGATTCCGGAGAGTTGTGCTGCTGGGTGAGGGCCCCGAGTCAACAGGCACAAGTGTGTGCGGCGCAACACAGCAGCAGCAGGAGAGGGGGCACCCCAACAGCAATTTCAGTTCAAATCTAGCTGACAACATTCAAGAGTACTCCACCTGTAGTTCGTCTTGTAGCACAATTCCAAGTGCTGTACAACCACAAGACCAGCAGCTAACGTTTCCAATACTAAGTGTTGCCGGTGGCGTGGCAAAAGATAAGCATGATGCATGTATGTCAATGCAAGATTTCGACTTCATCCGTGTCTACCTCTCGATTCCCGGCACCAATCAAGTTAAACCCTGCTGAAATATACTCTGTGGTGTTCAGTCCATCTTCCCTCAAATTCCGGTGGCGATTGGTGCTGTAGTGGGCGCGTTCTTTTGCTTGGTCGTTTTGGCGGGTGCACAGCAGTGTGGTTGCGCCGCGTAGATACGAGTCTCACATATTTTTATGGGATGGGCTGCGTATTGCGCCGACAAGTTTGAAGCCTACAGTGAATGGAATTTGGCAAATCTTGTTTCCCCAGATTGCTACTGGAATAGTCTACTGCTGTAAACGTTTAGGCTTGGTTGGATGTCCGCCAGTCGCGTAGTTCTTCTGCGTAAAACGATAATTTTTGTTCCTCCGCCTACTTTTTTCTATTTTCAGCCGTGCAGCACTGAGCAAAACCGAGGGCCCTTCACCGCCCAACCCCAGTAACGCATAGGATTTAGACTACGTTAGGAAGAAAGCCTCCTTGCACGAGTCCCACACCGCGCGGTGTTGTTCTTGGAGCAGACAGAGGAGTTGCTGATGCTTCACTGGATCCTGGCTGCTGTGCTACATTGCTAGACGCAAGTTCGGCGCTACGGTGGTTTCTATGCATCGGCNTTCGGCGCTACGGTGGTTTCTATGCATCGGCGGCGTAGAGCACTCCGGTTTTTGTTTTGTTTGTTTGTTGTTTCTCACATTAGCTCTAAAAAAAAAAAGATTGGGAGCCCG